TTCGATGAATTTTTTTGTTGCGATAATTTTGTTGCCGAGTGTATATATCATTGTTTTCTGAAAAGGTGTAGTATTATATTTTTACACTAGACGAAATTTCCCGTGTTTGTTTTGGCAAAATTCGGCTCCAACCTCGGAGCTAGTGAAAGATTCCCACTTTTAAAACTTTATTGTTTATTGTTTGTCGTTTGAATAAATCTTATTTGTACATGATTTTTGTTAAAATTTCGACCAGATGAGTTATGTTTTCTTCGGTATTATGTGGAAATGAATAATGTACGAAGTAAAATGACTGTGAAAAATTGGTTTTCTTGTCTAATGGCCATAATTTCAAATATTTTTTTCAAATTAAAGATTCATGCTTGTTTTATTGGCATTATACTTCATGATTATACTTCATAAAAGTAGGAGTAAGCTCTTTGCCGATGGATTGGCAGCGGTTTTAGATTAGGATATATAAGAAATTTGAAGAACTTACATTGTTCTGAAATATTTTCAAAATTTCGTTCCTAATCTTTCTGATCTTCTAGATCGAATAGGAAGGTCATAGGCTAACATAATCTTAGCGCGATTTGCCTATAGTGGAGTTGAGCACTCGAATTCGGGGAGCGCCCCTCGGTTATTATTTCAGTGTAGATCAGGTCTAGAAACTCGGCTTTGGTACTTTTTTTGTATATAATGTAACACACCAAAAAGCGTCCAAACCGGTAACATAGAACCAAACGAAAATGTGAAAAAGTATTATTTTGAGCTATAAAAATTAGATCGTAAACATCAGATTGTAAAACCTAAGAAAAAAACATTTTTATTTTAATGGAACAGCAATTAGCCGAGTAGCATTGGACGTGAGGCTAGGCTGTCTTGACGAGGGGAAAGATCCTCCAGCCGAGACGCAAGCCCTGATCGAAGCCGTGCTGACGTTCTTCAAGCACGTGGGGCCCCTCGAGCTGAAAATCCCCTTCTGGAAGTTGTGGCCGACGCCGGCCTGGAAACGATACATCGGCGCCCTCGACGTCATCCTGGCGACGACGAGCAAGTACACGCGCGAGGCCCTCGAGCGAGCCCAGCGATGCCCCAAGCCCGAGGGCAGCGACGACCTATCCTTGCTCGAGCGGGTCCTCAGACAGGAGGGCGACGCTCATCTCGCCACCGTCTTGGCCTTTGACCTCTTCCTCGTGGGCATCGACACGGTAACGATTAATGATCAATTTAGCTCATCTAGTCGGCAGCTAATAATATTTCTATTTCCATAGACGTCAAACTCGGTCGGATCGGTCCTCTACCAACTGGCCCTGCACCCCGAGAAGCAGCAGCTGCTCCACGAGGAGCTCAACCGGGTCCTGCCCGAAGGGGGCGGACCACTGGAGCCGCGACACCTCGACCAGCTCAAGTACCTCAAGGCCTGTGTTCGCGAGACTCAAAGGTTCTGTCTCCTCTTCTTATACTCTTCTTATCTCGAATTTCGGCTCTAATTGACTCATTTTAACGATTCCGATTCAGGATGTACCCGGTGGTCATCGGCAACGGCAGATGCACTCAGAAGGACACCGTCATCTGCGGCTACCAAGTCCCCAAGGGCGTAAGTTGATCTTGATCTTGAGCGAATATCGATCCACATTGATCCACGTTTACGCAGGTACACGTCGTCTTCCAACATTGGGTCATCAGCAACAGCGAGAGATACTTTCCCAAAGCCTCGAGCTTCATACCCGAGCGATGGATCGGCCAGGGCAGCACCGAAGCGCCACCCGCGAGACATGCCTTCGCCTCGTTGCCCTTCGGCTATGGACGGCGCATGTGCATCG